CACTGCAGTGCTAAGGCTGATGTGACAAGCAGAAAGGGGCAGAGAAAAGCACCTCTGGAGTCCGAGAGGGAGCCCTTCGTGGTACAAACCAGCAAGAGATACTGCTGTGTGGAAGGAGCAATGGAAAAGGCGTACACTTTCCTTGGCAAGGCTCCCCCCTTAGTGCTTCCACAGGCAGCGGCCAAATTCCCCCGGCACACGGCTCTCGCCCTGGGTGTCAGACTTGCAAGCGTAGGATGGAGAAAAGGGAAAAGCAAAACAGAACAAAACCCAAACACAACTGAACCCCAAACCCCGGAGGAATGCAAACGGGACCACCTCAAGCTGGAGCACCCTCGAGTGAGGAGGGAGGGGAGCTGGGTCCTTAACACGGGGAGCAGCTTTCAGGTCATTCCTCCCTCCACATTATCTTGCAATTCCGATCCGTCTGAGGAAGCTAGCCAGGGTGCCTTGTTCCCCCCCTCCCTCCCCACGCGCACACACACACGTCGCCACCCAAGGAGCCCTGGACTGGAAATTTCCTTTAATAAAGATTTACAGTATCAAACTTGGAAAAAAAAAAACCAAAACTTTTTTTCGTCTTTTTTTTTTTACGAAAAATCTGTACGATAAAATGTATATAATTATATATTTATATATATATTTCTCTCTCTTTAAATATTTCCACGTGGTCCTTTTTGATATCCAATATGGATTACCTACCATGGCTATGGTATCAACAGCTTTAATAACACCCAGGCCTCTTGTCCTTAATAGAGTGACCAGAGATTACGTGCCGGCAGCAGCACGAAACTAGCAATCACACGGACGAGCCTTTGGCACCCTTCCAAGAAATGGAAAATACTTGGCCACGAGGGAAGTGCCACTAAAGAATTCAGATATGTTTCTCTTCTCATTCCAGCAGCAAGAAGACCCCACAGAACTACGCTTAATTACCCATCGCCCTCTTTGTTTCATGGATTTCGTTTCCCCGGTGTAGTCAGGGATGCCCAGATGGGTGTTCCTATCAATTCAGGAACAACACGGAGCTCTGGAGACATTCAAGAAACTGGAAGCATTTGGGCATTCCCAAGTCTACTGGCCATTCGTTTTAAATGTTATATTTAATTTAAAGCCCCAACAGTGCTAGGAATCTAAACTCTGCCTGTTTTAAGAGGCACCTAACTATTCTTGAGCTGTAGAACATGAAAAGGGACCAGGGAACAACAGTAACATCTTTTTCTTCCTCAGCTTCTGCTGGGGGAGTCAATAATGGGTACTGATACACAGGACATCGATCTGCCTTCTAGAAGATAAGGAGGGAGGGAAAAGAAATGAGGTAATGCTATGTGTCACCCACACTATATTTGCTGAAAAGTCACTTTTAGAAAACTTCCTCCTCCCCTCCAGTAGAAACTTAATCTGGTGGGGTCCCAAGCCTTTGGGAAGCATTACACTTCAGCCTCTATGGCTCAGTAAAGTCACGAACGCAGGTGTTTAGGACTGAACGGGCGCGTCTCCATGAGATGCTAGAACTGCAGTAAACTCATTCTACTGTGCGTTAGCGCATCACAGTGAAAGCCGTGCTAATGCGCTGGTGAGCAGAAATTAGCCTGCTGCGCATTAGCGTCACCTAAAAGGCATGTGCTGGCGCTACTACACAGTAGCAGTGATTACAGGCACATTAAGTTAGTACCCGTTCTTACAGGTACTAAACAATGCACCGCAATTACAGCACATTGATGCACATGTAGACGTGCCCAATAAGAATCAAGTGCAAGGTTCCTCCTCCTCTATCTATTTTACTAAGGGACTCTCTCGGAAAACCCAGACTCCAGCGAGAAGATATGAACTACCTACTACTTCTGTAGACAAGGAGGGCTTTACTAAAATTCTGCATTCTTATTGTTCAAGACAGGAGAGGACTTCTTGACTGACATCTTACACGGGTTTAGTGGGCTACTTTTCTACCCTGGTCAATGCCAGGAGCATCCTCCTGCTAACATACTACATCCATCACTTTTTTCCTTTGGAACCCTAACCTACTTCACACTTCTTCTCTTGAGCACTAGCCATTTTCTCTCCTCATCTCCAACTTCAGCAATCTCACCCTCTTCTAACCTGCATTGGAACAGGCATCCTACACCCCATAAGTCTTTGACCCCCCACAGAATGCCAAACGCTCCCCCTCTTCTTGCCTGTGTCGAACCAAACACCAACGTAGCTATTTTTATGCTGACCTGGAAGCGCAGTCATCCTCTCGGTCCCGTTAAAGAACAGCAGAATCTTCTCCCTTTGGCTTCCCGCTTCCTGCCCACTGCTGAGCCATAATTCCCTCTTCTCAATCATTCCTCAGAACCATAAGTGCTACTTATCTACCCCCATTTTAGTCCTGCCCTTCGCGTATCTCTTGGGATAATTCATAGACACCACTGCCCAAAGAAAAAGTGTCAAGTTTCAAGGGTCATCTTCACACAGGTAGCCTTAACCCTCTCAATACAAACCACTAAAGGTCTTTTACTCTTTGGCACCCTGCCTTAGTGACAGACCAAGCTGTTGAAGAACCCCTCCTCCTCTTCCCCACCCAGCATCCTATAGCCCATCGCTGGCTGGCAGAGACCAGTGAACATGGCCTATGAGGTTGAAGTGTTCACTTCAGGCAGAGGCGGTTCGGCCACCATTGCCTTTGTCAAGTAGAGGAGTCTCCACCAGCTTCTTGCCCGTAGGTGACTGCCCCTCTGGTTCAGTGCTTTAAAAACATCTTCGTATCATGCTCTATAGAAACCTCTTTTCACAGTGCTGATTCCCAGCAGAACAGCTCCTATCCTGCAATCAATTCTGCTTCAGTCCAGTAATACCTCCAAAATTACTGCCCTTACCCCACCTCTCTCCACATTTCCTGTGATTCCTCGTCTTAAGCTTCAGGAAACCCTGAAAAAGCCACTGTTACAAGATTGTGGATTATCTGGAAGAAATACGTGGCATAAGTATACCCAATTTACAGGCACATCTTAGGGA